AGTCTTGATGTTGAAATTTTCAATGACACTTTGTTAGAAGTTGTTGCTGATTATTCACGTGAAAATGGTAGAGTTTTGAAGGAATTGAGAATTGCTAATGACACATTATTAGAATATGATAAAAACTTGCGTAGAAAATTATCAAATGTGATACCTTTTATCAATCAAGATTATATTGATGCTTGGCCTATTCTTTCTGGTAGGTTCTATTTTAATTCCTTTTCTATAATTTTTCTGTTGTATAATTAATTAATAAAGGAATGTTAATTTTTTAGAAAGGAGGGATCCTTTATGGAAGAATGTGATGAGTTTTGTATAAAATATATATTTTTTAAATAATTTTTGTATGTATATGCTTTGTTTTTTTTATCATACTCTCTCATGTGTATATATATTTATATATATCCATATCCATTCCCACATCCATATCCATAACCATATTCATAACCATATCCATAACCATATTCATATTCATATCCATAACCATATCCATATCCATATCCATATCCATATCCATATCCATATCCATATCCATATCCATATCCATATCCATATCCATATCCATATCCACATCCAATTCATATCCAAAACCACATCCCACATCCAAATTCAAATCCACATACATAAACATTCATAAAATGTAAAGAGAAAAAAAATTTTCTAATTTACAGAATTTATTAAATAAGTTTTCATATATATTCATACATTATAAATAAATAAACATTTTTCATTTTTTTAAAACATTAGTTTTATTTTGAAATTCTTGCATTTGTAAGATTTCATGCTTTGTAAGATATTTCTAACTTCGATTTCTTTTTTTGCTATCCATGAATTTTTCGTTTTTCTTCATTATCATCATTATTGTTGTTATCAAAACTATTCAGTTTCTCCATTATATTCTTTATATCAGATTTCCAATAAATTTTTGATAGAAACTGATGGATTATAACGTTTTGTTGAGGGAATGAGTGAAAACACTACTTTTGGAATCAATGATGGTGGATTACGTAGTCTTTAATATTATAAAATAATATTTAAATGCGATTGATTGGATTAATATTAGTATCATGTAAATAAAAATATACAAACGAATTAAAATATTTTTACATAAATAATACTTACGATAATTGATAAAAATCTATAACGGCCTTCTTAATTAAATTTCCTATAGTGTATAACGGCCTGTCCCTGAAATTCACTTATATGTTTTATATACAAAAAAAAACCGGAAATCTTATTTTTATTTGTTCTCAATAATGGTTGAATGAAAGTAGATAAAATATATCAAAAAGAAAGCCGAGAATTAAAAGCTTTTATTAATATAAATTTTATATGAAACTTATTTTTAATTGCTTTTATATTAGGCAATGAAGTTAATTTCATTCCATTTAAAAATTCAATTTTAAAAATCAGCAAATTGTCATTGCAATTCTTTGGAGCTTTTAGCATTCATTACTCTATGTCTTGATTAACAAACTCACCAAAAATTTGGTGTTTCAATATATGGACATTGTTGAATAATCATCACATAACTAATAGCACATTTTTAAATTGAAGCTTAAAATAATTGACTTTCAAAAATCCGATTTAAATCAAATCAGCATCTCAATTTTTGTATAAATTCAGGAATGATGCCTATATAGAATGTATTGGTAATTGGCTGCTAGAAAGAACAAAAAACATCATTTTTCTAAAATTTCCGGTTTTTTTTGTTACTGCCTATAACGGCCGACGATCACGATTATACATGAAGTCGAAACTGATTTTTACTATGTAGTTGCCTCAAGTCGAAACATTTCGACTTTGGTGTTTTAATTTCGACTTGATGTATAATCATGATCTGAAATTATAATTTATATTTCTCTTATTGTTACGATATCAAGTAAAGAAGCTTTATCAGCAATGAAAACATTAGATGTTTACATTGAGCAACAATCTGAAAAGTTGCAATTAAGTGAGAACGAATTTAAATCATTAAAAAGCCTTAAAAGAAAAATTAAAAAAATCAAATTTGATTACATCAACAATCAACATTAGATAACTTTCTTATTAATGTTTTATTTTTTTTAATGTACAGTCAGGATTATTCCCCGATTTGGAATCGATTCTGGAAATTTCTGTCGATCAATTCATATAGTGATGCAAACGAATTAACGTGATACTTTCATAACTATAATGAGCAGTGGCATCAATACTGCAATATTGTGTTTTACCTTTTGAATAATTTATGATTAACTAATTTTCTTTGTTCTTCTGCTAATTTGGTGTTTTTATTATAATAATTTCTTTCTAGTTTGGCTTTAGACAGATGTTCCTTAAATCTTTTGAGCAAATCTTTAGCTTCTTCTTCTTGGTGAGCATTATAATGTAAACCATTACTAAAAATGTTGACAAGTATCACACAAATCAGTCCTTGGACTCATAATTTGAATCTCTGGTGTCAATTGATGTCATAATTTTCTAAAGGCATCATACTTCAAGGATTTCAAATTACTATTTTCTTCCAGACCAGCTAGAAGATCCCTGTACACAGATTTATAACTCATTTCAGCTGGTAAAAATACAATTGATTGAGTTATTCTATTGTTAATTCTTCTTGGACTTGGTAATCCATGGACTTCGGCATAATTTTCTAGAAAATTCTTTACTACTTCAGCAACATTTTTATCAATCACCATATTGGTTTTTCATTGAGGCATTCTTTTAATATTGCCATGAACCCTTGCTAAAAGACCATTGTTTTATCAGATGATTTCTAATATTTTCAAAATAAGTTCTGCCAATTCCTAACATATTAAGGTAAGTTTCTTGACAAAGAAGTGTATTATGATCCCAATGACAGAAGGTTCTTTTATTAGACCCAGTTTTTGTTTTAAGGCATCTACTAGTGCTTGTTGACCCACCATCCATTGCTTTAATCTGTGCCATTAAAAATATGTCTTGTTCTGGTTTAGAAAGAGCTTGAAAGGATTCTCTTAATCCTGCACATTCTTCCCTGTGAATTCTTGAAGAACAACCACAATTACATCCCTTTTCTAAAAAATCAACAGCTTTTTGATATTCATTAGATTATTATTACTTTTCATATACTTACCCCTATATATATAATTTTATGTTCACTTTATAGGTTTTTTTGAATCATCTTATCAAAAATTCAATCTTTTAAATTGAGTAATTTACTTAAAATGGATTAGAAAGCACAACACACAATTTCAACTGAATTTTAATCAAAAACTGCACACACAAGGTAATTTTAACCAAATATATATTTATTTGTGTGTAGGCATATATTAAAATATTCTATAAAAAAAAACTAATTACATCTCTATTTAATTTATGTTTAGTTATTAGGAGTTATTTGTTAGGAGAGGAAGATGATGATCCATCCTTCCTCTCAAACTTCTTTCTTTTATACATTTTTTCAAAGTGCTTATTTTTGATTACATTCTGTAGAATTAATAATTGAATGTAATACTGCTTTCTAATTTTGATACAAAAGAATTTTGACTTTGCCAAGATTCTTAGAATTATTAATTCTACTATTTAAAATCTTGTAATTACCTAGCAAGTTCTTTCCGCATTTTGATCCCAATTAAAATATTTATAAGCTAAAATAAAAATATCAATACAAATAAAAAATAATACCTTTGGTTAGTTATTAACATGTCTTCTTTAGGAGACCCAAACCAAACCAAACAACAACACTCACGTTTTGTCATCTTGGGCTCTGTCAAAAAATAAATAAATTGTTTTTCCAAGAAAAAAATCAATTCGCGCCTGTCCTCCCAAAAAAAAACCAATAGGATAAATAGTTAGCGCGTTACACACCAATCAAATAACTTCTTTAAACTTATCTTTTTTTTTCAGATTCAAAATGTCAATCAAAATTCAAAAAGAAAAAAAACCGAAGAATATGGTGTGAAGAAAGGATAAGTGTTTTAATAATGGTGGTGGTTATCGCCCGCCACCCATCGTCACTCTAGTTATATTAATATTTAAATATAAATATTATAATTAATAATTGTTAAAAAAAACAAAATGGCATCAAAAAAATACTCTAAAAAATGAACCAGAGGAAGTACTCAAGAAGGATATTTTGGGTAAGTGTTTATCAAAAGAATGGTGGTGGTTATCGCCTGCCATCACTCGTCACTCTAGTTAATCGATCAAATAACAAACTTTTTTTTAATTCTTTAAAAAAAAAACATGCCAAAACAACAACGGCAACAAAAAAGAAGTAGAACGAATGAAGCCGAATCTATTAATAAACATTATTTAAGAGAGAGACACACAAACTTGGTATGATAAAGTTTAATTGCTATAAACCTCTTGTTAATTAATTATATATGTGATGGTTATTAGATCTCTCAGGATAGCAATAATTTAAATGCAAATATACTATTGATCTTTTAATAATCATGTTATTTTTTTCTTTATTTCTTTCTTCTGTTATAACTATAATGGTTATTAAATTTTATTTGCTATGATATGTCTCTTAAGGATTATGAAAACGAAGAGAATGAATTTTTAAACATTAATGAGTAAGTTTTATTATTTTAAGCCAATTTATATATTTTATGTCTAGTAATATTGTTGAAGATAACAAATCAATTATTTATTTATTTTTCTCAAGCATTGATAAATCAATCAATGGTGTTTTCGCTCTTCAAGATAAAAACCGTAAAGAAATAGAAGAAAAATTTCGATCAATGAAGAAAGATAAGATGTGGAGGCTATTAGGGTTTTTATTCATGAATATCATGAATATCATTAAGGGGGTTACACACTATTAAAACAGCAAAAAATCCCTTA